CCCCCCCCAAGACCGCCGCGCTCCTACGCGACGCTGAGGACGACGCCGAAGCCTGAGCCGCCAGCCCTGGCACACTTCCAACCGGGACACGTCCGTGCTGGGGGCGAGACCCCCTTCGCATCCCCAGAGGTCTCTGGAAGGGGAATTCATGCCGGGCAGCTCAGCGGAGACCCTGCACGCCATGGCAAAGCCACAGGACAGCACTGCTGCACCAGCACGCCCGCGCCGGGGCACGGAGACCCCCTCCAGGCACCAGAAACCCAGTGCTGGAGAACCCTTGTTCCCAGGGGGCCGGCGTTTGCCACGGCCCCTCTCTCTCCGTGGGCCAACCGGAATGAAGACGGTCGCTGGCTGATCCAAGAAGTTATTTTGCAATTTAAAACTTCCTATTGCTAGGAATAAAGGGCACTTTAATAGGAGCCTTTAAAATAAATGAGGCCTGCGTACGTAGCGCTGATGGGATTTAGTGATCTTTTTAAAAGCCACCGTTCATCTCACGTGAGTGGGGCTTGCTGTCCTGAAGCCACTTACGGTTTTATTGCTGCTTGATGAGACTGGACTACACCGCCCATCAATTCTGGGTGCTGTCACTTCAGTGATGTCCCTCCTAAAGGCTTCCGACGGTACCTGGAGCCTGCCCGGGCTTGCTCCAGCCCTTGCATGCGTTGGCGAGTACAGTGGTGACTTCTAAAGTCTCAATTCTGGGCCGCTTTCTCCTTGCGTTAGGCGACTGGGTGAGACGAGCCTCGCCAGAAAAGCTGTGGTGCATCTGACCTGTCACTCAGCTCCTCCTGGTTGTCCCTGCTGCCTGCTCAGCCGTCCAGGGTCAGCTCTTCTGGTGCTGGGAGGCCACTGCGTCGCTCTGCCCGTGCTGCCTGCACGCAGGACGGGGGCAGGCAGAAGCTTGACCCTCCCCTCGAGTGTTAACGAAGACACTTGTGCTTTGGAGGTGGAGGAAGCTATGTGCAGTCATAAAAGTAACGATGGCCTTGCTAGGTTTTGATTAAAATATTGTAGATTTCTGAAATGAGGTCTTGGGGGATCTGGGGCTGGGTGTTAACTGGGGTGGAGGGGGCTGGGGGTCACCCTTTAGTGGGAAAGCAGCTGAAAGCCCAGGGGTATTCTTGGCTAACTGCAGATCAGTAGTTGTCTACCCCACCTGCCTTCCCTGCTGCCCGCCGGGAGCCAGGGTAGCCCTCGGGAAAGCCAGAAGGGCCTGGCTGGTGCCTCCGGCAAGGATGGAACGGAGCGTGGGGAGTCTCTGGTCTCTCTCGGACCGGAGGACTTGTTGTGTTGCGTATGGCACGGAGACTGCCGTGAACTGGAAACCATTGCAGTTGTCTAGGAAACCACTGCAGCTGTCTAGGACAGCCCTGTGACCTTCTAGCAGGGTAAGTAATACTTTTCTTCTTATACCTCTGTCCCTCTTACTAGGTGGGATGAGCATAGGAGCTAAAACCAGCACCAGCAGTTCCTGTGTTGGTGTGTTCCTGACTGGCCATGCTCTCAGTCCTGCAGCTGGGCTTGGGCGGTCTGATCGTGGAAGCAGTTGTGATACAGCCCAGGTCACCGAGGGGGAGAGTCGCACCTACCCAGAACTTGCTCCGTCG